GTAATGACTACTTCACGCATGCAATACCCAGAAAGTAAGCTCCATCAATATTCAACTAGTATTTGCTTATCGGAAAACCATGCAGTGTGCCCCAAAGCAAAGCCGATATAGCTACTCTCAACCAAACACAAGTACTATACTCGCAATTACGAACAGCTCCTGTAAGCAGAAACTGTGGCTCTTGATGCACACCTCTTAATGCGTGACTCAATGAATGACTGTACCATTGTGAGATATTTTTATAAAGCAATGATAAGTGAGGTCCTGCTCAATTGTGCCTTTCAACATCCCTCTACCATACAGTCAACAACATTTATGAATGAATAGGCATAACTATTGTCCATTTTCTCTTCTTGATATCAACTATGATATCCTTAACCATGCTTTGTTCCCTGATCAAACTGTTGGCGGAACCGCAAGCAAGTCGTCGTCGTCGTCGTCGTCCGAAGACACGGCAGCGCAGAGAAGAGCTCGCGACGCCGAACGTAAACGTCGGCGTCGAGCGGAAGATTCTCAACTTAGAGAACGTGAAGCCGCTGCCGAATCCTCCTCAGTGTTCCCCCGAGGGAAGCTGCGGGCAATTTTTTAATTACGTGTTCACTTCCACCACCCCCTCGTGCAATACATTCGAAAAGCCCACGACTACCTCCCACCATACCTTTTTTTGCAAGGCCACTGATAAAAAGGCTTCTTTCAGGATACCAATTTCAAGTCTTGTTTTCTGTTACCTGCATAATGTGTTTCAAGTTTGGTAAATTCAACTTGTTTATTATAAACTATCACGAAAACACGCAATGCCAGTAATAAATCTGAACTTGGGGCTGCTCTGGGAAAACCACAAATTGTTGACTGCAGGCGTAACCTAATACATTTACTGTAATTTTATTGCAAACCTTGAAACTACTACACAGAATTGAGATTCTAATAGGCACAACAGTGCCAATTAACCGTTTTGGCAGAATTGAGACTGACACTACCTCAGCACCACACTGAAAAATCCCGTATGTTTTCCTTTATTCGCATGCGTCTGCATGTGTTTCGGTCTAACTTCGTACTGGAACACCGACACATGTACAATAAATGAGCGCATTACACAGACAAGCCACTGCGGGTCAACGCGGGTCTTCTACTGGGCTTCTCCTTGATTTGTCTCCGCTCTTGAACGAGTGTTGTATGCGCAATATTTCAATTGGAATGGTTGCTCAAACTTGAATACTTCTAGCTATTGACGCCCTAGCAAAGTTTTAGTAAGTTTATAAGATTCACTGTGCAATACAGTAACCCATCGTCATAGCGAGCATGTAAAGATTGCATATTATGCCAAATATCTGATAACGCAAAATTACCTAACCCTATTGTGGCTGGCGCCGTGTCACCTGAATGACGCCGTCAATCTGTCTAAACCTAACAACATTTATTTAATTACGGAACGAATATCAAGTGCGCAAGAGCCGTACAATATTTCTAGTTACCGACCATGCTGTTTTCTTCTTTCATCTTAATAAACATTTATTTAGTAATAATTCTCCGCAATTATTTTCCCATGGCATCCATGGCTACGAACGTTATGAAACTTTAGGGGTGGATGAGATAAAATACTCATACAAACTTTGCGCACTCCACGCATGTACAGATACGAAAAATTGCCAAACTCTTGCCATACAGCCTGTATTCCAATCCGCGTAAGCCTCGTACAGCTTGCATTCCACTTCTCATCTTATTCAAGGTAGAATTATATTCTTTTCGCCCCCCATAATTACGTCCATTTCTCCGCTGTTGTGTCGAGAGTGGCATATTGATTAGGAGCGATGATGAACACACCTAAATTAGCACGCCTCTTGATGATGAGCCTACATGATTTCTCCTTAGTAAAGATAATCAAATTATTTACGTTGCGCAAACACTATAATTGAGTATTTATATGCCGTAGTAAGGTCATGCATATCGCTTTCAAGCTTTGGTTCTTTAATCAATGCCTCGATTTATCTTCGTTCATTTTGTGGCTGTTTAGATTGGCATTACGATGTGTTAAAATTTTGGCACCTTCTTCAAGCTATAGAGCTCAATGTTTCAATAACAAAAGCTGTCAGACTTCTTTTTTTGACCCAATAACTAGTTTGAAATAACCTAAAGCAAAATATGTGTACCTAGACATCCTGTCCGAATATTTTTCTCATTATATAATTTTGCGTTATCAGATATTTGGCATAATATGCAATCTTTACATGCTCGCTATGACGATGGGTTACTGTATTGCACAGTGAATCTTATAAACTTACTAAAACTTTGCTAGGGCGTCAATAGCTAGAAGTATTCAAGTTTGAGCAACCATTCCAATTGAAATATTGCGCATACAACACTCGTTCAAGAGCGGAGACAAATCAAGGAGAAGCCCAGTAGAAGACCCGCGTTGACCCGCAGTGGCTTGTCTGTGTAATGCGCTCATTTATTGTACATGTGTCGGTGTTCCAGTACGAAGTTAGACCGAAACACATGCAGACGCATGCGAATAAAGGAAAACATACGGGATTTTTCAGTGTGGTGCTGAGGTAGTGTCAGTCTCAATTCTGCCAAAACGGTTAATTGGCACTGTTGTGCCTATTAGAATCTCAATTCTGTGTAGTAGTTTCAAGGTTTGCAATAAAATTACAGTAAATGTATTAGGTTACGCCTGCAGTCAACAATTTGTGGTTTTCCCAGAGCAGCCCCAAGTTCAGATTTATTACTGGCATTGCGTGTTTTCGTGATAGTTTATAATAAACAAGTTGAATTTACCAAACTTGAAACACATTATGCAGGTAACAGAAAACAAGACTTGAAATTGGTATCCTGAAAGAAGCCTTTTTATCAGTGGCCTTGCAAAAAAAGGTATGGTGGGAGGTAGTCGTGGGCTTTTCGAATGTATTGCACGAGGGGGTGGTGGAAGTGAACACGTAATTAAAAAATTGCCCGCAGCTTCCCTCGGGGGAACACTGAGGAGGATTCGGCAGCGGCTTCACGTTCTCTAAGTTGAGAATCTTCCGCTCGACGCCGACGTTTACGTTCGGCGTCGCGAGCTCTTCTCTGCGCTGCCGTGTCTTCGGACGACGACGACGACGACGACTTGCTTGCGGTTCCGCCAACAGTTTGGCCGGCGCTGGTCGAAGTACGTCGATCATTCTGTTTGTGGATTTGTTGGCATTCATTTCATGGCGACTTCGGACGTCGACGCGCCGTACAAACCAACGGACGAGCGGCAACTGAGCGAGCGAACGCCGACTTTGAGTATATATACAGCGCGACGGCGCATGCGCTGTCAGCTGTCGAATGTTCTCGAAGGAGAAGCGCGCGCGGCACAGATGGTGGGCGATGGCGCGACGGCGCATGCGCGCGCGTCAGCTGTCGAATGTTCGAGAAGCGGTGCGGACGGCGCGGACGGCGCACTACAAGGCGCGAGTATAAGATGCTTCCGCATCTAAAATGATTGCTGCCATTATAGTCTTCGTTAATGAACCTGGAGCGATTTTCCGCGAGTGATGAACAGTTTGTCTTTTTGAATTTGGTTTGAGGACTTTCAATTGAAATACTTATTAATATGTGCTTTCACAGAAATGCCTGATTTGTTCCTGGTACTGACTTTATTGACATAAGTGAAAAAAATTGGCCCTATATATTAACCACAAGAGCACATACCTTGCACTATCTACTTATACTCTCTGAGGCCGCTCAACAAAAGCTGTGGTGAGTGAACAACTTCATGCAAATGTCTGTGTAAATAAGAGCTCTTTAAGTATTTTGCGAACATTAGGTTACAGTTTACGAAAACTTGTTTCGAAGAAGTCATTATGTTGTTAGCTTCGTGTGCTGACAAGTACTTTTTCGCTGTTTTGCAAATGAGTGTTTAAATCTCGCCTATCGTTGATAATTGATTCAGTAGAGTACAGCTGATTGTATTCATTATTCACTACTTATATTTCAAGAAATACTCCAGGCGATAGGTACCGTATATCAGCCCATATTTTTAATACATCTCAACAAACCATTAGCCTTCATGCAGACCTCAAGATGGGACAGGTGGTTTAGCTGATAGAGCAAAGCAGTAAAACGTCTCGCCCTATATTATGGCCAGGTGCATATTGATAGAAATGAAAAGAACTTTCCGAAAATGCAATATTCAGAGTATTATAGTTGTCTTGAAGAGAAGTCACTTTTTCGTCTTCATGGGTTCCCAGAATTCATAGCTATGTGAAACAAGCCTTTGTGATTGAATGACATTGGGCAGAGCAGCACCCATTCTGTCATATTCTTGTCGTCCGTGTACGTGTCAAATGTTGCGCTACAAATATTTTACATAACATCCACGATATTCGTCATAAACAATCAACCGGTCATGGTGATTTTTTGCACTTTTTAAACGCGTAGTTGAAGATGTACGTGAGCACTTTCATTTCAATATTTACTGATGTAGATTCCGGTTTTCCATGGAAATTTGTGGAGTCCTTCTATATTTAGCTTTACTTCAAGGGCCTTCTGGTATTGTTTCGCCTACATCTTTCTTTTTGCCGGTGAGCCCTGCCACGGTGGTCTAGTGGCTAAGGTGCTCCACCGCTGACCCTCAGGTCACACGATCAATCCCGGCGGTGGTGGTTGCATTTCTGATGGAGGCGGAAATGTAGTAAATCCATGTACTCAGATTTGGGTGCACGTTAAAGAACCCCAGGTGGTCTAAATTTCTGGAGCCCTCCGCTACGGCGTCTCTCCTAATCATATGGTGGTTTTGGGACGGTAAACCCCAAAAATCAATCAATCAATATTTTGCTGATGATGGCGCACAATTTCTTGAAGCTAATACTAAAAGGGAATGAAATGGAATGAAAAAAACTTTATTTCACTAAAAGGGAAATAAGTACTTTTTTAATTCGACATGAATCTTGTATTGAACAGGAGCATTGTTATGTTTTAGAAAATAACCATCTGGAACAGAAAGATCATATGTGTCGCTCCAGGGTGTGCCGCCCGTATTGGGTTGATTGATTGATTTGTGGGGTTTTCGTCCCAAAACCACGCTACGATTATGAGAGACGCCGTAGTGGAGGGCTCCGGAAATTTAGTTCACCTGGGGTTCTTTAACGTGAACCTAAATCTTAGCACACGGGCCTACAACATTTCCGCCTCCATCGGAAATGCAGCCGCCGCAGCCGGGATTCAATCCCGCGATCTGCGGGTCCGCAGCCGAGTACCTTAGCCACTAGGCCACTGCGGCGGGGCACCCGTATTGAGTTAACTGAAAGAAAATATAGTCGCTGCGCGTTATCTTCTTTGAGATAACCTGAATCGCTTAACTATAATAGCACTGCCAGCTTAACAGTCAAGAACGCAATCATTTTTCTGCCGACACTAAACGCGCGTCAAAGTGTCTGCCATTTGAAAATTTTGCTAAACTGTACCACCCTAAAATTCTTCACGGCACTCTACTTTAACAACAAAAAATATGTCTGATTTCGCTGATGATCTCTATAAGGTAGACAATAAAATTTGTAAATCTGGAAAATATTCATGTATTTAGTACCGCAACCCCGTCAATCCAATGGCAGCAGCCTCCCGCATCTGAGTAACAATGAATGAAGAACAACATTATTTTACCACACCTAGTACCCCTTCGTTAAAATTAACACGCTAAAAATGTGCTGAATAATGTCTTACTTTATGTTTTGTACCGCCATCTTATTTACAAATCCGCACACTGTCTCTGCAAATCCATCGGCTTTTTAGAGAAATCACAAATTGATATGAAATGAATAAATCACATCCACCAGGTACAATCAAAGGATTTTCAAGATATGTTTTCTAGGTTCTCTTCGCAGTTCACGCAGCAACGCTAATTAAATCGATGTCTCTTGCAAAATAACAAACATAATTATTGCGCAGCTAAATCACTGAATTGCTGTCAATGTAGTGCTAAAATAAATATGTAATACGTTTCTTCTCCACAGAAAAAACTGCAGGATGGATCAATTCTTTGGAATGAACCTGCTTCTTGCTGTTGCCGTCCCTTTAGGTGCGCAATACTTTGCTGACTCTAAAGCCTACAACGTATTACACCTGTGGGAATTGCTCGAAAGGCTGGAAACATAGTTTGAAAAAAAAAAAGGCAGATCTCACGTTTTTGGGGAATTGAGGTTACGCGAAGCATGCGGAGGGCACGTGATCATGTTGAATATCTTTTATTGAGCGACACGTTATGGGAAGTGAGACTAAATATATGTACAAAGGTTGCACGTACATCCACTTGTTGAAAAGCTGCAGATGATTAAAAACAAGTTGTTTCCTCTTGCGCAAAACTGCCAACAGTAACATCCTGTATCTTAGCAACACCAGAAGCGATGAGCTTATATGAAGCGCTGGGGCTCACGACGATATTAGCTGTGGACGCTGCTACATGAATCAACTTCAGTGAGTGTCACCTAAATACAATCGATGTTCGCTCGACGTCGCAGCTGTACGATAGGTGTATATATGTAGTATTAATAAAATTCGATAGCCAGTGCTGCAACCAAAATCGCAGTTTCACGAGCATCAGAGTCTATTGAAAAGTAAGCCTGAGACCTGGCGTTGCTCTGTGGTAAGATATTTGATCGCCACGCAGGTTGCTGAGATTAAATTTCTGCTCGGACCATGATATTTACTCTGTGCATTCGTTGGGTCAACGTTACCGAAGACAGTTTTTTCTTAACACTTTCGCGTTAAAACTACCCTTGTGTGTTCTTGAAGCATCTGGGTAGAGACTGAGTTTCTATCACCTGTGGCACATGCCCGCACACCTGTGGCACACACTCGCCTTCGGGTATGTGCCACTATTTGAAGGGAGGTTTTTACGACGTGTGCGATGAGATAGTGACATTATTCATGTCTTGACCTCTGCGTATTGTTCGTCAAACCTTCGTACCATTTATGTTATTTTGGTTCAAGCCCAGTGAAGAGGGTGATCATGAGAGCGCCCAGTCGGGCGGCTAGCTAACTAGATAGATAGATAGATAGATAGATAGATAGATAGATAGATAGATAGATAGATAGATAGATAGATAGATAGATAGATAGATAGAACAATTGCTTGCATTACACAAAGAAATGCTTCGCATTTAAAATGGGATACTTTATTTTGTTAAGCGAAATGTCTGCTAGTCCAGTGCTTGGGCCCTCACACCCGACCAATCGCTGTACATAGCACCAGAATTCAACAGTAGAGAGCTACTAGAGCACAAGAAACGCTTTCAACCGGATACCACGAGTGTACCACCGTGAGAAGCAGTACGAGTGCGTACTTGACCCACCCGTCTGTGTTCATCCCAATTTGTAGTCTCGTGGTTAATCTCAACGAAGCGATCTTTTAACTCAGGCCATCAATGCCATCATTGCGTCACCCATAAACCATGCTATAGTAAACTATGTGCTAATGGAGGAAGCGTTTCCAAAGGCAGGTATGGCGAGGGTTTATTACAAGTGGCTCTTACCGAGTTCTTCATCTATTATGAGGCATTTAAGGAAGCCATATTCTTGGGGAATCGTATCTCATGCAATATACGACTTGTTGTCTACCGGGGATATGATTAACTGTAACAGTTAACCATTATAGCTGGGGTTTGACAGGGAAATACTACGCTATCATCATGAGGCAATATCAGTAGAAGACTCCGTAAATATCTCCCACTTGGTGTTCCTTATCCTGTTCAAAAATCTAACATTACGGGTGCAGAATTTTCACCTCCATCGAAAATGCTGCCGCCACCGGCGTGAATGACCCCGCGTAGTTCTGGATCGCAATCATTCACCACAACCGCTGCCACACTGTGGTTGGTAAATGACGAATGTGTCTGCCTAAGTTTTTAGTAATTGCTGCCACGCACACGTACCTTTAGTCCTACCTTTGCTTGAGGTTTCATAGAATGCTCGCTTTAATGAGGCACTGAGTTGTATCAAGAATCAGTGGCTCTAATTTTACAAATATACAGCGAAATCTGCTATGAGATCAAAAGAGGGGCACCACAGTTACCCGCCATCTGTGTTCGTAACCATTATCGTGCCATAGTCGATGTTTGTAAACGGTATACTGCGCGAAATACGAAAGAAAGAAAAATACAAAGAAAACAAAATGCGTGATACAATGGGGTTCTAACCGATGCAATCTCCATGCGAATGAAGTATCATATCACAGAGCCATGCAGGCATCCGAAAGGTTTTAACAAAAAAATAACAAACAAGCTTTGTGTCGGAATGAAACCACGCTAACGTACCCAGTATCACGTGGTGTAAATGTAAAACAATCAGGTGAGAAAATACAAATCCCATACCAAGAGGTTCGTTGATGCTTTCAAGCTTACAAAATACTCAGCCGTAATTCTTCGTGGTAATCAGCCACCGCATCATTTTATGGAGTATATAGTAGGTACAGTGCAAACGTACTTCTTTGAGTAGCCCCAATAGTGCTTGCAAGTAGTTCTAGTAATGTCATTCTTCCAGCTTTCGCTTTGACCATGTTGCTCTTGATGCGTAGGCCCGCGCTTTTTATGCAAGAACAACGCTTGTGACGTCTACTACTGTATGAGAATAAAATACATAAGGCCGGGTTGGTTCTGATTCAAAGCGAATGAAAAACTAGATGGAAATACCATAAAATTCACCAGGAGTGCACCTCCCGACTCACCAACATCAAAACAATGCGATTTGGTATATCGTCAATGCCAGCACGCGCACCTGCCGTGTTAAGCTGAACAAATAAATGACTACCCAAACATAAACACTGCTTAATGTTGTGATGTTTAGCGTGCATTGTTATCACTTAGCACACAGGCTTGCTGGGTTAAGCCCCTATGAGTATACTGCAGCGACAACCAGCATGGAACTCACGACCGTCAGAAACCTCTTTCAGAGCGAGTTGCACCATATTTACACATTTAATTGGTCTTTCAAGATTTTTCAACTAAATGGGCACTGCTTGCTTTTTTTATTTTCAGCTGTGATTATCACTTTTAATTTTCATTTTCAGCTGTGATTATCATGCTGCCCAGCGAAGCTGCAGCTCTCGGTGGCGCCGTCGGCGGCATTAACTCCATTGGCATCCGAAAGAAATAAACGACTGCTGGAAATGACTAGATCGCTGACCATTGGGGCCAGCCAATCGGTCGTAAATTATTTGCAATAAAACACCCTACGGAACGCTGATTATCTGTGTCTTTTTCTCTAGTAACGTATTATTTTTTATTGTGAATGGGCTGTGGTCATGGTATATATCTACAAATCACTATCATACTGTTATATTACCAACAATAATAAAGCAACAGGCTTACAGAAAACATACACAGAATCACAAGAATTTGTTAACAACTATAGCTGCTGTGCTCCGCAAGTTAACATTGACGAGTCCCGAAATTGTGGCGCACTGAACTTTGGGAGTTGGTAAGTTGTTTATTTCGTATGCCTCTTCTTGTACATAGCTTTGTTGGTGAATTGTAGGTAACAGTAGAGAAGTGACGATGTCGAAGAGGGTACTCTGAAGGTACGAAGAAAATGCAGCCAAAGCACAGTTTGACACTCTAAGTGACCGAATGATAATGCTAGGCTTCCTTGAAGTTTTGAGTGTGAAGCAAGCACACTAGCTCGAGAAAGCTGCCTATACTTGTCATGGTTCGAGGAGCTACAGGGTGTTAAATGGGATATAATAGGGCTCAGTGAGGTCAGGAGGACAGATGAGGCCTATACGGTGCTACAGAATGGGCACGTCCTTTGCTACAGGGGCTTGGCAGACAGATGAGAACTGGGAGTGGGGTTCCTAATTCACAGAAACATAGCTGGCAACATAGAGGAATACTAGAGCATTAATGAAAGGGTGGTAGGTATCGTAATTAAACTGAATAAAAGATACAAGATGAAGGTAGTACAGGCTTACGCGCCTACATCCAGCCATGATGACGCTTCAGTTGAAAGCTTCTATGAAGACGTGGAATCGGCAATGAGTAAGGTAAAAACACAGTATACTATAGTGATGGGCGACTTTAATGCAAAGGTAGGGAAGAAGCAGGCTGGAGACCAGGCAGTAGGAGATTATGGCATCGGTACTAGGAACGCCAGAGGAGAGCTACTAGTAGAATTCGCCGAACGCAATAATTTACGGATTCTCAATACCTTCTACCGAAAACGAGAAAACCGCAAGTGGACATGGAGAAGCCCTAATGGCGAAAATAAGAACGAAATAGACTTTATAATGAGTGCACACCCTGGAATCGTGCAGGATGTGGAAGTGATTGGCAAGGTACGATGCAGTGACCATAGAATGGTACGGTCTCGAATTCGCCTAGACTTGAAGAAGGAACGACAGAAACTGATACGCAAGAAGCCAATCAATCAGCTAGCACTGAGAGGGAAAGTACAGGAATTCAGAGTGTCGCTGCAGAACAGGTACTCGGCTCTTAGTGAGGAAACCAACCTTAGCGTAGATACAATGAATGATAATCTGACGAGTATCATTACGGAGTGTGCAGTGGAAGTTGGAGGCAGGGTAGTTAGACAAAACACTGGCAAGCTTTCCCAGGAAACGAAGAACCTAATTAAGAAGCGTCAAATCATGAAAGTGTCAAGTACAACAGACAAAATAGAACTGGCAGAGCTTTCGAAGTTGATTAATAGACGTAAGGTATGCGATGTAAGAAGGTATAACATGGAGAGAATTGAACACGCTCTGAAAAACGGAGGAAGCGTCAAAGCAGTGAAGAGGAAACTTGGGATAGACAAAAGTCGGATGTACGCACTAAGGGACAAAGAAGGCAAAATATCTACCAATAGGGATAGGATAGTTAAAATAGCGGAGGAGTTTTACAGAGATCTGTACAGTAGCCGAGACAACCACGACCTTAATACTATAAGAACTAGCAGTAACCCAGATTATACCCCACCAGTAATGATAGAAGAAGTCAGAAAAGCTTTGGAGGGCATGCAAACGGGCAAAGCTGCTGGTGAGGATCAGGTAACATCAGATCTGCTGAAAGATGGAGGACAGATTGTGTTAGAAAAACTAGCCACCCTGTTTACGAGGTGTCTCCTGACGGGAAGAGTACCAGAGTCTTGGAAGAACGCTAACATCATCTTAATACATAAGAAAGGAGATGACAAGGACTTGAAGAATTACAGGCCGATCAGCTTGCTCTCTGTAGTATACAAGCTATTTACAAAGGTAATTACTAACAGAGTAAAGAAAACATTAGAATTCAATCAACCAAAGGAACAAGCAGGATTTCGAACAGGCTACTCAACAATTGACCACATTCATACTATCAATCAGGTAATAGAGAAATGCTCAGAGTATAACCAACCCCTATACATAGCCTTCATAGATTACGAGAAGGCGTTTGATTCAGTAGAAATATCAGCCGTCATGCAAACACTGCGGAATCAGGGCGTAGATGAAGTATATATAAACATTCTGGAAGAAATCTACAGGGGATCAACTGCTACCATAGTGCTTCATAAAGAAAGCAACAGAATACCAATCAAGAAGGGTGTAAGGCAGGGGGACACAATTTCCCCAATGCTATTTACCGCGTGCTTACAGGAGGTTTTCAGAAGCCTAGAATGGGAACAGTTAGGGATAAGAGTCAATGGAGAATACCTTAGTAACCTGCGCTTCGCCGATGACATTGCATTGCTGAGTAACTCGGGGGACGAATTGCAACTCATGATTACGGAGTTAGACAAGGAGAGCAGAAAGGTGGGTCTTAAAATTAATCTGCAGAAAACGAAAGTAATGTACAACAACCTCGGCAAGGAGCAGCGCTTCGAGATAGGTAATAGTGCACTTGAAGTTGTAAAAGACTATGTCTACTTAGGGCAGGTAATAACTGCAGAGCCGAACCACGAGATTGAAGTAACTAGAAGAATAAGAATGGGGTGGAGCACATTCGGCAAGCACTCTCAAATTATGACAGGTAGATATCCACTATCCCTCAAGAGGAAGGTATATAACAGCTGTATCTTGCCGGTACTTAGCTACGGAGCAGAAACCTGGAGACTTACAAAGAGGGTTCAGCTTAAATTGAGGACTACGCAGCGAGCAATGGAAAGAAAAATGGTAGGTGTAACCTTAAGAGACAAGAAGAGAGCAGAGTGGATTAGGGAACAAACGGGGGTTAAGGATATCATAGCTGAAATCAAGAAGAAGAAATGGACATGGGCAGGGCATGTAGCGCGTAGACAGGATAACCGCTAGTCATTAAGGGTAACTGACTGGATTCCCAGAGAAGGGAAGCGGGTTAGGGGGAGACAAAAGGTTAGGTGGGCAGATGAGATTAAGAAGTTTGCGGGTATAAATTGGCAGCAGCAAGCACAGGACCGGGTTAACTGGCGGAACATGGTAGAGGCCTTTGTCCTGCAGTGGACGTAGTCAGGCTGATGATGATGATGATGATGATGATGACATGTCATGGGGTGGTGGGGAGCTAGGTTTTCTGCCATTCTGTTTCCCGCTATCCCACTGGCCGATTTACTCGCACAGACTATATGATAAACCTTTTATTCTACCGTCATTCGATGAAGCTAACTTCAGAGAATATAGAGAAAAAGTTCAGCCCATAAAGGCATAACAGCCTCATTTTAGTACGTTTTCATTATTCGCCTTACACTGATTCAAGGAAACTCCGGATATGGCCTTCTTGAAGCGTTTTAAAAAACTCAAATTCTCGCAAAATAAAGCGCAAGGAAGCGTATTTAAGTATTAAACAGGAATGAGAACAGAAAATCATCCTAAGGGGGCTCATCCAAGGCAAATTCTACGACAATAGCAGTATGTGAAACTCGACGGCCAGGACATGGGCTCTCTTGAAAGCTGAAGTTGATTAAAGATGTGGGAATGAATCAGCCTCAATTCGCTGTTCATGCAGTAGCTTGATGTCAGTTGAGCGATTTCTGAAGTGATAAAAAGCACATCATGAATGTATAATAATTTAGAATTTCAGGATTTTTTATTCGTTTTTTGGTGAGTTCACTGAACTGAAAATATTTTCAAGTATCAGAGAGTATGTGAACTTGAGAACCATTGTCTTAGCGCGTTTATTACCTTTGGGAGAGGCGTGTCCGTAGAAGGTAACAACTTGGAGCGTGAAAAGAGAAGCAAAACATGATTACTTCACATCATTTACAAGTAGAATGTACTATAGCGCTATATAAAAACACAGAACTCACTGTGCTCAATATGAGATTTGAAATTATATGCCCAGGCATACAACGTTCATTATGCGGTATGTTCAATAGGTATTGCAGCTACCTTAAACTGGGATTCTGGCGTAAATAATCAACCAAGCAATATTTCACGTCACTTCAAGACACTCACTGGTGTAGTGAAAATATCCCAGTAACATACACATCAAATTACGTTACCGAACGTGGTTATTTGGAGGCCAAAATTTTTCGACATCGTTATTCTTCTACTGCTATTGCAGCAGAGCATGTGCGTGTTTTCTATGTGCATTGATATTTTTTCGAAGCCGAATGAAAATTATTTGGAGAAAATTTGTTATGGTAGTTCAGTGCTTCTAATTAACAGTAAGAATGTGTAACTTCTGGCAGATCTTCACAATAGCTATTTTGTGACTCATTACGCGTTCATTTTTCTTTCATCCCTGCACCTATACCACAAAGTGATCGAACCAGTTACCCTTGATGCGTCGGCGAGCTTTGCCAAAAGTCATTGTACAACTCTTTTCCCAAGCACCTCTTTTCACGGAATGTGTGTTTTGTCTTGCTTTTTTGGCAAAAACGCAGTTGATTTCATTGATTGATTTTGAAAATTAAATGTCTTTCATAGAGTTATTCAACCAAATGTACCCCACTTTTGACGCCGATTAAGTGGTAAAACAACTTCAAGTAACATTTATCGCCTCGACCATTCTTCAGCACTACCTTCTGCTATTCAGACCACCTTTAAGTGGTCTTGCTGCTGAAATGACTATCGAGATAAGCTCGTACACTTTACTCTCAGAGCTAAATATAATTGGTTGGGGGGAAAAGATATATAACTATATAAAAGATTTTCTCACCGATCGGGAGGCGACAATTGGTATCTCAAGCGTTAGGTCTGAGCCATTCCGAATGCCAAACAAAGGAACGCCTTAAGGAGC